TTATATTCATAAGCTTCCCGCTTTTGAGGAATTATGAGTTTCCTTAAAGCGGTGAGCTCTGGTATTACAACCCCCAAATAAAAAGGTCAATCATTTTCATCGCTTTTCTGCTCTATAAATTGTTGCTTTAATATTTTCTATATTAAATTTAGTCTAAGCGAAAAGTGAATTAAAGAAATATACTTAAATATCGCTTGATCGTTATATAGGGTGAGTCAATAAGGACTAGTATTTAAAATAATTCGTCACCTATTGGCTGTATCAAAAAACATTTTAACGAAACATTGAGCATTTTACGGGACGCATCAGACGGATATAATTTCATTTTTCTATACATATTTTACTTTTTTGAGATATCAAGGTAACCTTCAATTTTTTCCAGGTCAATGCATCTTTTTTTTAATACCATCCTGTATATCTAAATTGCTAGTGCCAAATTAATTTACACGTTCCTCTGGTAAAGAATATTTACCACGAGGGTTAAACAGCAAATAAAAAAATTAATCATTTTCAAAAATTAACATTTCATTTTGCGTACGATTCTCCCGTGCATTATACTGAACGGTAACAAGTTTTGCTACTTCCATTAGAGCAACATGATGCATACTGTGACAACTTAACAGCAATCGACGTGTAACGTTGAAAGCGGTATAATTATATGTTAAAACTGTTGGCATGTGATCCAATTACCGGGAAGTATTTCGAACCGTACTGTCGGAATCCAGAAGACTTGGCTGACAATGCACGAGTACGCTCATTGTATAATTATCGCGTGTATATTATACGTTGTCCGGGGAATGAACGTATGGCGCTTCGCGTACCGTCGTCCTTAATCCACAAATCTGAGATAATTGGCTGATCTGTATCGCCCGAGCGCGCTGCCCTTCAGGTGGTGCTTTCGTAACGGTTGCGTTGATACAAGAGGGGGAACTGTGGCACTGTAACGAGTGCCACTACGATTATCGTATTTTCCCCGGAGCGACGATAAAAAAAAAGAAGGAGCGGCTGAAAATGAGGCAATAGCTGTTCCCGGGAGTGCTCGTAATTACACATAAATTCGAGAACAGCTGCCCGGAATTGACAGAATATCAATTTGTAACTGGGACTGTACCTATTTCTGTTCTTCCAACGACATACTGGGGCTACTTCCGGTCCCTGTAATGGCGTCGCTGTCATCGTAATCCGAAAAATATACTCGTTCGACGCTTTCTCCCATACTATTTCCTGTTTTAACGTCACTCCAAGTGGTCGTGAGGCATGCAGTTAAATAAACAATCGAAAGACTTCGAACTTTCGGAATTTCCCCGTTGTTTTTCTAGCACGACGATCAGTTTTATACGTGATTCTGTTACGGTGCTCCGAGACTATTTCGATCCAATCGCGGTTCCGTTTCCCGAAAAATGTTTTTATCTCCGAGAGAAGTATGAGAAAGATGATGTTCATATGGGTGTTTAACTATTGTTGTCGTTATTTCTAATTTATAACTGAGCTGAGGACTGTAGCGCGGGTCAATTACTGGAAACCTTTCGGATTGGTGCAAGGGTATCCTCAGTTTATCACATACGCTGCCGTTCAAAAGTTTGGAAGCAGTTAAATAAAATTTGGAAAAAACAAGTTGCAAATCTTTTACTACGATTAGAGGCTTAAAGTAAGAAAAAACTTGTGTTTATCAAATTTTTGTTTCGTAGAAATGATCACTTTCATTTTTAAGATAAAGAATTTTAAAGAAATTGTGGTTAGCAAAAGAGACTTTATGCTAAGTAGTGAAAATATACTATACAATTTTTTCACTGGCTGTTACTTTCAATGTATTAATAAAGGATTATTTAACTAAAAAATATAGGGTGCTTCTAAATTTTTGAACGGTAGTATACATGTATATGAGCATGTAGCCACAGCTTTAAGAAATCATAATTTCCAAAGGAATGAAATACACTCGATGAGTGTTTGAAGACTCTTCTCCACTGAATATTAAATATTTTCTAAACTAATGGCCATATGGAGTTAAAACAAATATCATTGGCTTCAGAATGACAAGCTCTATCGATGTGCTCATTATTAGAAAGGGGACCTCGCCCTGTAAGTGCCGAGGATCCTTCGACCCCTCATCGAGCATTTACTGTATTTCTTTTTCGGGGCATCAAGATGCAAAACAGTTTTATATTAAAACGCGACTTTTTGTAAAATTTGTATATGCACAAAATTGATGTTGTCGACTTATTCCAGCAATTTTCCGAACAAACCTTGTACTCGACCGAATGTTTGAAGGAACCAGTATAGTTAGAACGTAATTTGTGCGACGCATACATACGTAAAGAAGGATTTAATGTATCTCTTAATTGAACATTGGAAATCAATCCTGTTGGCTCGATATCTGATCTACGATTATGGAAACAAACGTGCGTCAATATCGGTCGGTCGGACCACAGTTACCTGGGGCATCCGCGGAAACGTAGGGACGCTGGGAAACGCGTGTAATTGACGTCTACGCGTAATAATAACAAATCGTGTTGACAACAGGACAGTGAAAAATAGATGTTTGCCGGTCGATAAATCATTTCGTGCCTAATTGATTCGCACGTCCCAGAATATTCTATTAAGATACCGAAGCTGTTGTTTCCACGATAATAGACGAACGCGCAGTTACAAGGTGATTAATTAATTTTTAACAGAACGAATTTAGGAAATAATATTCGTCCACGTTCAGACTGCATAATTATTATAATTACAACGAACCAACTCTTCATTTGCTTGTTCCTGTAATTGCAATAATTTATACGCGCAAGAAACATTTTTAATTACCTTTGTTAAATTTGTTTCCATTGCGGTTACAAGGGTCTCTTATTTATTCCCAATTCAATGGTAACAACAAATCTGTTTTTAAGAATACATACTATCGGTTCGTGAACTTCATCGAAGTACGACCAATATCCCGTACTAGAACGGAAAACTTCCGAACAAATATTTTCGACGATAATCGAGAGCCGGTTGCCCGAAACTGCAAGAACCAATTTCATTCTACGAAAGCCCACGATAAACTGCTGGAACCGAAAAGAAATTCCTTTGATATATATTATACATCTGTCTGTGGAAATATCTCTGGAGAATATCAGCTAAGATTGAGCAACCGTGATCTAAACTTTAAACGAATTTGAGCTTAAATGAATTTACTATCGTCGAATAATCAATAACCAATAAATCTACTTCTTGAGATTGGTACGTAGCATTGCACTTAAGAAACTTCGATTTTCTTCAACTTTCTAAATTGTTCAGGTCATTCCCAAATGAAACGATCAATTTTGCTGTGTATGCTCTATGAATAGAAGTAAACAAAAATTTGACGCAATGGTAGGTTTTGAAACAATTTATTTAGAAGATACAAAAAGAAATTGAATATGAAGAAACTAGCTTTTGCAGGTTTCATCAAAATTTTGATTTTTTCGTTCCACCCTAATAATTGCACTCCTCCTGAAATTTGTTGTGCTCCAAATGTTAGCCCCCGTACATCGGTGAATTTCGTTCCACACAGGACTTGGAAACTGGAAATAGATCAGTCGAGCAAACAACAGGGACACTTCGTGACCACTCGCACTTAATACTCCGTTCCCGTAGGTTTCGGTAAATGGGGCGAAACTTTTCGGTGTTCTTACGGGACGTAAAGCCACCGCGACGTTTAATTACCGTTAACGATATCGAAACGTGGATATTGTCGGACGCGCACCACGAATGTAAACCAGTTAAACTCTCTGCAGAGGATCCCGGAAATTAATGTTTATAGGCGGCAGCTTGCGTCTGAGATTGTGTCTTGCCTCGTTGCGAGGATCAATATTTCCTTAGAAGACGATCAACGTCTAATTACCGTTTACCGGCTTAACAGCGGTGTCGTTACTTGTTACGATTTAGGGAAGCCCGGTCTAATATCGGAGGAATTTACTACCATGCAGGTTCGTTGTGTTATCGGAGATGATCTCGTTGCCGGCTCCACCACGGGCCTTCTTGACGTTGTATTACACAGGGTACAGGTGTGTATTTGTAACTGGAATTTACGCGGGAGCCGGGCACTTCGTTGAACTATAGCCATTTTAGATAGGAGATAATCATTCATCGTCCGCATAGCTTCTGCGTTTAGGTTTGCAGAATTTATCTCGAGATCGAATCAGAGCACGATGTAATTTATACAAGGTGTCCCACGTAAAGTGTTACAAGCTGTCTTCGTTTTAAATTATTACAGGTCTCGAAGCAGACCTGGGCACTTCTGTAATGATATTATTTAAACTATGATTTCAAATAACATGTTATTTTATTTCGTAATTCTTTCCATTGCTGTGATCACGTCTGAAATAACATTATTTGAAATATTATTTCGAATAATATGTTACTTTATTTTCTAATCATTCGAAATGATTCTTCGAAATAATCGTGAAATTGTTCTTCGAAATTATATCCGCTAGGTCTGAGTTTGCTTTATTGACATTTTTTCTGAAGAGTAAAAACTAGTAATAAGAATTTCAAAAACTTCCATAATAATTATAGATTATTTCAACGAGTTCTAGTACATAAACCGGAATTCCTAAGTTCTCCGAAAATTCGGTCGATGAACTTTCTCGATCTCCCAAATGGGTCTGCTTAAGTCGCTGGGAGTTCCATATTTGTTCCCACGGAACACGGCGGTGCGATGGTCGTGCGGCTAACTTCTAAGATGATCGAACCGCGTTGTTCCCCGGTGGTCCATGGGACAAGGATCTCAACATAAAGAGGTTAGGCTTAGTCGCTGCTTGACCCGCTTACGTTAACTCGGCCCATTCACACAGACGCCGAGCTGCTCGAGTACTTTGCCAAGTTTTGCACGGCCCCGTTGGTCTCTGAGCTATATAAGTATAAGTAGCAGTAAGTAAGCAAACGAGTGGGGACGAGTAGTGTGTATGTACCGCGGGTTATGTGAAGTGGCTGCCTGTGAGAGAGAGACGGGACACTCAAGTCGAGGGCCTTTCGTGTTGCAGATTTACCCAGGTTCGGCAGACCGTTGAACAACCTGACGGTCTCGGTGGGTCGCGTGGCCATTTTCACCTGCATCGTGGAAAACCTTGGCCCGTACAAGGTAAGACCGCGTTCACCACACCAACCCCCGAGGATCAACCCCGTTATCACGCGTCGCTGCGACCGTTTCGCGATTACGGCCGTGGATATAACACGCGTAGATAGCATTGAATAAAATAGCACCGTCCTACCATGTGTGAAACAACAATTCCTTATTCCTATTCTAGGATAAAAGACCCATTTACTGCCACCTATCGAGGTACTGTTATCTTAGACTGGTTTACTTAAAATGACAGAGAAACGTTGTGAAGTTATACGTAAAGAAAATTCTGCATGCAATTAACACTAGAACTACCAAGCAAGTCAAAATGACTTGTCAATACACTCTTACAACGATGAATACATTTTCTCAGATCTTTTGCACCTTTTATTACGATATAAAAGTGAAGAAATTAGTCAATTTCTTAATATCTTAATTTTCAAAAGTTTTTCACGTTTATTCAGAAACACTAGAACTACCAAGCAAGTTAAAATGATTTGTCTATTCACTTTTACAACGACGATTAAAATGTTGTGACAATACATTTTCTCAGATCTTTTGCACCGTTTATTACGACATGAAAGTGAAGAAATTAGTCAATTTCTTAATATCTTAATTTTCAAAAGTTTTTCACGTTTATTCAGCGATCGAAGCAAATATGCGTTTATCGTCGGTAGTTCTAGTGTGAAAATTGTAACTCGTAGGATAGAAAGAACTGGACTTAATTTCCTTTTTTCATTCATTTTTGTGAAATGGTAAACAAATTTTAGTTGATCGGAAGAAGCGAAAGGGAAAACAAGGTACTAACGAAAAGACTATATTTGTAATGTTGGAGCTAGTAATGTAATAAAATGTAATGTTTTAGGTAATATAAAGATCGTAGAAAGTAATATTGATCATAGTTCAACGATGGGTTAGGTTTTTCACTTCAGTTTTTGGGTGAGAGTGATTAATTTTCTATTACTGTGAAATAATTTTTTACTATTAGTGTCTATTAATGTCACTAATATTAGGTATTTAGGTATATGAGGTGACAGTATTTGGTTAGGTGGTAGTAATTGGGATGCCAGTAATTCGATCGAACACGTTTTACGGGCGTCAGTAATAGCTTTCGAGATATATTTTTGAAACTAATGAATTTATAAACTAAAGTAGAGGTTCAGAACGAACAACAACGTTTTCCTTGAATTAAACATATTAAATAATAATAAATACAATTAAAACTTATGTTTTTGGTCAGCTAATACAAAAATTATGCAATAATGTCAGTGTTATTTCTTACAGTGTCAGTAATTGGGTTTTTTACCCTATGATTATACTGGCTCGTGGCAAACTGCCAATTCGTCGCCCAAGTTCGTAACTGTTCTAACTCTATTTTAACGAAAAATTCAGTTAATCAATCTACGTGAGTCTCATTGGTCCAACGAATACAAATTCACCATAATATAAAAAAAATTAAACCTAGAAAACAACAAATGTTTTTTTAAGTCCAAACTTCAAAATTTTGAAAGTTTTTGTTTCTTAATGGTTATATCTATAAATACTAACAACAATTAAAAATTTATGTTCACAATAAGATAAAACTTTGTTAAATATTTTAATAAATAACTATTCAGTAGATGATATTATAATATTTATTTCAATTAAAGTGAAGCAATATACAATCATAGTTGTCATAATTTGTCTGTTTGTATATAAATGTTGAATTCAATGCTAATTTGTTATCAGCCCGCGAATACACCGTGTTCACGATTCCAATAAATTGGACTCCGTAAGAGGAATCGTGCCTCATCGTTTTGACATACACTGAAATATATTATTTCTTCTTTCCGTTTCTCTTCCAAGCACCTCGCTGTCTCGTGTATTCTCAGCGTCGTCCCATGAATAAGTAATACCGCTCCAGATGTTAATTCTAAAAGCAGGAAAAAAGTGTTCAATACTAGAACCACCAAAGCCATCGAAATAAGCGGTTCGTAAATTCTCATAAAAATGATTAAAACGTGATAGCAGTGTGTTTCCTGAGATTCTTCGCAATGTACAAGCGAAGAAGTTTGTTAACTTATTGATTTGTATATTTTCAACAAGTTGCCCTTTTATAAAAGTGAAAAAAGTAGAAACATATTCTTTTGTACACCTGTTTTTACATTCTTTGTGTTTTCTTTTATAACATATTTATAATTGTTGGATTTTTCCCGATACGTTTAATGAAAAATATTTTAAAAATGCTGTTGTTCCGTTTGAAAAACAAAAGGTAACATTCATTTCGCAGCAAAAATGCAGATAAAGATGATTTAAACAAGTTATGCACACTTAAATATAGTTCAACTCTTGTTTAACAAAATTTTTTGTAAAGTTCAAGGAAAGTCCTGAAATTTCGTAGCAACACTTACGTGAGACAGTCTGCGTACTTTTAGCAATTGTCACATTAAAATTTATAGGGGGAGATCCCTTAGCCTGGAACAGCATCTAGTATCGGACATTAGCTACATGTTCAACACTCGAAATGCGAAACAGTTAAGGAACAGGAGAGAAACTTGGGAAATACGTCTGAAAAGACAAATAGACCCAAGCAGATAAAGCAACCATCGACACCGAAAACCACAAACAAAGAAACTGTCTGTGTAGTTCGCCCAGAGTATAATGATAAAGACTGGATTCAATGTTCAAGCTGCCAAGAATAAGCTCACGAGGTTTGCCCCAATATTCCCGACTGCTCTGATGCAGACCTGGGCACTTCTGAAATGATATTACTTGAAATATTATTTCAAATAACATGTTATTTTATTTCATTATTATTTCCACGCCTGTGGTCATTTCTGAAATAATATTATTTAAATAATGTTACTTTATTTTCCAATCATTTGAAAGCATTCTTAAAAGTAATTGTGAAATTGTGCTTCGAAATTATGTCAGGTGACTCGGTCTGAATTTTGGTTTATTTACATTTTTCTTAAGAGTGACACCCCTCTTCCATCTTCTACAACAGTGGAACGATTATTTTCTTTTGCAACAGTATTAGATGAACCCAAGCAATAATCTCTGACGGATGAGCTTTCTGAAGAACAGGTTCTGCTTAAAGCAAAGTGCTGTAAATTTCTTAAAAGAAAATCTTTTTGTTGCCTATTATTTTGGGTATTATTTCTTTTGCTAAATTTAAAATACATAAGTAGCAAAATAAGTCATTATTTGAAATTGCTATTATTTCAAATGAATCGGTAATATTTCCATTTTCAAATAACAGTATTGAAAATAAAGTTCCGAAAGAAATTACTTCAAATAGTTATTTCTTATTTTCATTTCAAATAAAATTTGCCCAGCTCTGTTCTGATAATTACATGAAATATATAATATCAATATATCACAAATTTTGTGATTGTTTTAAACTATTTTGAATCTGTCCTGCGTTAGGCTACTTATTGTATAGGTGCCATTCAATGTTCTTTTAAAACCATATACCAAAGTTTAAAGTTAATTTAATTTAAATATTATCATACAGTTACTTTGCTTACATTGATTTCTATTTTTGTTAACCTGTAATCAATGCAGAATAAAAAAAAACGATATTAAAACTTTATTTATCAAAGGAAAATCTCAAGTCTCCTCCACTAGAGGAACTCCTCCTACTTGTTGCCATCATCGGACCATACAAGACATCTCCCACGCTTCCGAGCGAATACGTCTTTATTCTGCAAGATACAGACTGAATACCATCAAACAATCTATTCCTAAAACACACCCAAATCGTCCCACAAGCTCTAATCTAAACAATCGGCGGCCCAAGACAGTCATCGTAAACCGAACAGTTCTACTAAGCTCTCAAAAACGTGAGGTCAAAACATACCCATCACAGGCGTCCGAGGGTTAAAGCACGGTAACGTCGGGCGGGGATAATCGTGTATAATCCCCAAAGATTGCAAGGCGTGCGTCCACACAGAGAAAATTCAGTCCCGTTTCCCGGAATTTTCCCAAAAGTCTCGAGTGGCGGAAAAGGGGAACGGTGCGAAACGAAGATCGAGCGGGTCTAACAAACGGTACAAATAAACCCGGGGGCCAGAGATTCGGGGGTAAGAATATCCGTATCCAATGCGTATCTAGGCGACTCCATTTAAGTAGAAATAAAATCCCGCGGGGTGTGAGTTCAGCAGTTTGTTAAGCGGTTCCCTCGGCCCCTTTCTACCTCCCCCTTTTCTCCCCACATTCTCCTCCCTCCACCACACCACCAAACCAATACTTTTTATCCGTCCATTCTTTTTTCGCCTCCGGTTCGTTCACTCCTTCCTCCGGAGGTCGAGAGAGAACATCCCCTTCGGAAGGCGAGTTCCCCCCTCCCCCATTTCGATTCGCTAACCCTCTTAGCCCAGGTCCTTCGTCGCCCGCCAGCCGCAAGGGTACGAGTTATAGTCTCCCAGATAGAACAGTTTCGGGGGAGGGGACTATGTTTCGCCAATAAAAATGCGCGCCGGATTTGTTTTATGGGGTCGAGGCACAATAGCACGCCAGACGTGTGTGTGTGTGTTTGTGTGTTTTTTGTGTGTTTGTGCGCGGGCGGTCATAGTCGAAATCGAATCGATGCATTATCTTTTACGCAGGTAGCCGAGGACACTGTTCATTCTTTCGCTTTCTCCGGAAATGAAACTACCTAGACCCGGTCGAGGGGGGTCTTTGAGAAAAAAAATTGGGAAAATGAAAACTATGCTTATCCAACGAGTCGAGTCAGGAATTGTAAACAAAGGAAGGTGATGACCATTCAGGTGGGACAGAAATTGCGAATGTTTTCGTTATTTTTAGTGACTCGTCTCGTTGGACGGATCGTTGTACCATTTTAGCGGGACAAAGAGGCCTTCCCTCCCACTCTACTCTTGGGATAAGGGAACAAATGCCAGTGGTCGGATTGATGCGCTTCAGTGGAGTCGATGTCTTCGGTGCGTTAATTTCGGAATCGTGGGGATGAGTCTCGTGGATCTTGTGTTCGGAGTGGTAGTGGTTGTGGTTGGTTAATTTCGTTGCAAAAGTGTAATGGG